TGCTTCAGCTGCTTGTGACTGCAGGAGCTGCCGTATACGAAGAATGTCCTTCTCTATTTGTTGAATTCTTGCCACCCTCACCTGAAATGAATGCATTTTCATGTTTGATTTTGTTCAAAAACTCCTTTTACTTACTGTATGGAATGACAATATGAAGAGTTCTTTGCAGGTACTGCTGAGTACAAAACAAAATACTTCATTCAGGTGGTAATTCAAGTGCTCTTCATAATAAAACACAGGCATGATTGCAAGCATTCAAAACATCGTGAGTAGCTGGGTTTTTAATAAAACTGACACTCATTTGGATATAACAGGTCATCACACAGTACACATTCAGGTATAAAAAAAAAGCTGCAGTTAACTTGCACAATTTTCCTGTTTCTGAAACTGACATTTTGTGCAGAAGTTTAGCAAATTATTTCACTTCCATCTCAGATGTTAGAATTCTACTTTCCTTACAGAGATTTGAGAGAGATTTATACTTGCAGAGTGTCTTGAAGGTATGAAATTCTGAATGACTTCTGAATATTCAGTTACTATAATGATCTGGGAGTTTTCCTTATGCACAGCCTCTGAATATTTTCTGTTCCTACAAATCTGAAAGAATTTAACAGGCTAAGTACAAAGAAAACTACATACTGCTTCTTTTGTTTGTCTGGGATTTTACAGACATCTCTGAATCAGTCTTTTACAGCCATATTGCTACTCATTTCCCACTGCAACCATTCTGTGGTTAGGGAAGGGAATGTTAAAAACCCAAACGTTACAGGATACATATACAACACACAAGTTGTGCTGTGAAGCACGGGATGCATTATGATTCCGTAGAACAGTAAGGGTACAGTAAACCTGTATGAGCTTGATAATTTAATAAATTTACAATATTTGACTTTAAAACTGGGCAGAAAATAATTAGCCCAATAGTATCAGAATATCAACAGAACACTGAACTGATATAAATAGTATTTGTTTTTGTAATTGATAGCTTAATAAAATGGACACATGGTTGAAAGAAAAATCCTGATTCTTTTAGCTGATTAAAGTTTACAATGCTATACTAAAAAAGGAAAGGCTTTGTGCATCTAGTGGACACTACAAGGATCAGCATTACAACCAATCTTATTTAACACGTTTGTAATCTGAAAATGGAAATAAGATGAACTTTTAAAAGGTGCTAAAGCCAAGATACATATGGAATAGAAACACAATGCCATCTATAAAATTCTGAAATACAGAAGAAAATATAATCACAAAACAGAATAAATTCCTGAAACACGCATCATAAGCAGCTATAGGAAAAGCATCATAAATGTCACCATTTAGTAGAGATGCAAAGCTATTAACATTAAACTATAAATTTGATTTTAATTTGTAATGCAAAGTATTGGAAAAATCCCAATAAAAATTTGAAAGCTGCACATAGAAGCTTCAGCATAACATGAAGCAAACAGATAATTCATTCCCCCTTTTGCTCCTGGATCAAGCAATTCTTAAGCATTAGAAAGATAATAAAAATATATTCCTGGAAATAACTGTGCATCGGTGACATGATACATGACTATGTCTCTCAGTCTCTTTAAGAAAAACTTGAATTTCACCTAAATTGAGTTTCTTTCCGTGTAACCAGCCATTTATTCCATAAAACGTATCAAGAGAATCTGAGTGTCCATATATACACACCTAAACATGGGCAAATACTTTTGTGCAGATGAAAAAAATTAAATATTGCACAATTCACCCAGTAACACTGACAGAGTCCTCAAAAGAGACAGGAATTCAATCCACCCTTCCCAGTTTTACTCCAGAGATTTAAACATCAGACCATTCTTCTTTCTGCTAATTCATTATTTGTATCACAGGGAAATTAAGGAGTTCCGTTAACCAGGAGCATATTTTGTACCAAACACTGTACAAACAGAAAAAAGAATGCATCTCTTGCCACAAAGGGGTATAGCCTAATGGCAAACATGAAAAAACAGAGCTACACAACTGAACAAGCACCAGGAATGGTTTTCACTTTAGAACCTATACAAGAAACATCACTTTTTATTCCTGTTTGTTCATAGTATATTCTCATTCAGTTCTATTTACTCATTACCTTTATCAACATAAAATAGTTGGATAAAGTAAACAACATTTCAAGTTACAAATTATTTGGATTTCACTGCTGCAGTAAGACGTCTAACAACAAAAAAAAATTCCTCCATATTCACGATAGAAAAATAGTCACTTTCTAGAAAGTAAAAATAAGGAATATTATTTTGTTTTAAAAGGTTGATTTTGAAAATTTTAATTATCTTTTTCAAAATAAAGATACATTATAGACAAAATTATTAATGGGTTGGTCCTCATTTAGAAACAAGACCACTCTATGAATCTAACAGTGGTGAAATCTTCATCTGTCCGAGACTCCAGGATTGACATTTTCTTGTATCTTTAGTGGTCCGCTGTTTTAGCAAACTTTTAAGGATGCTGGGATAAATTGTCAGGAGAACAATTTCTTGTGAGATTTTAAGCAACTCTAAACCTAAAAAAATGAGATCCTTCTTATTCTGGCATGAAGCAAAAATAAATTCTATGTGAACATGCTTTCAGTCTTGGAATTGAAACTTTTATTTTTTATATTTTACAGAAATTCAGTTTGCTTCTAAATATATAGGCTACAACAGCTGAACAGTCAAAGTAAAACATGGATAAGGATGCTTTTGTTTTTTTTTTCAAGAACGAACTACTGTGTGAGATGATAAACTTCAGGGAATAGTACAAGTTAGTGTAAACTGAACAAGCTAAAATAATTGCTAACAGCCTTCTAATGCATCTGAGTAACTGTTGGGCATGTGCTCATATACAGTCTTCATAAAGGATAACATCAAGAGTGAGTTGCTGTGGGCTACCTTGACTCAGAAAGAAGAGGTTAAAGGAAATAAAGCCCAATCATGACAAATGAAAGAGGGAGAAGGCCATTATTTACAGGTCAATGATAAAGGGCAGCTAGTGCATCAATTACTTGGGCAACAGTAGGTTATTGGCGCTCTCACAAAATAATCTTTGGGACTCTTAATACAGAGATGTCTGCAATGTCAGCCTTTCTTTATACAGCTGAACTGTTCTCTCCCTTCAGTCTACATTTTGCAGTGTATTGTGTCACAATCAGGGTGGAAGGAATATACAGAGCAGAAAGAAAGTTGAAAAACTAGCAAGTTCAATATACTTGCCAGATATGAACGTCTCAGTTTGCACATTCAAATAGGACAGTGAAATAATCCAGAATTTGCTTTTATGTATTTGTACACCACAGAACTTACACACATTTTTGGCACCTGTCCTTGCTAAAACGAAACCAAGGGGAATTGCCAGTCAAATTCGTAAGAAGCACATGCAGAAGCAGTTACTTCCTATTTTATAATCTTTATATAATCACAGTAGACACTGTAATTTCAGGTCAGGGGGGGGAGGGGAGAGAATAAAACAGTTGTGATAAACCCATGGGCAAACATTAATTCAGAAAACCAAAATACTTCAACATCTTCCTGGTAGCATTTATCCCCCCCCATAAAATTTAAAAATAACAATCATGGAAGAATCTACTTCATGGACAATTTAATTATTTTTATAGTGATATAACTACAGGTAAATTATTTCTCTGAAAAACTTCATTTATTCTGAGTGCATTTAGAATTTTGCCAGCAGCCTAGCCTACCTATTTAGCTTAATTCACCTTACTCTAGCTTAGGCTTGTTAGCAGCAAGAGAACTTTTGGGGAAAGTTCTAGTATCAATATCATAACACTTTCTTCTGCAATAGGGCTAACCAGACATCTGCAAACAATCCTGAGTGTGCTCTGCCTTCACTCAGGACTGGTTGACACAAGCTGTGCAGCTGAATTCAGGCAGGGCATCACCACTGCTGATAAACCTTGACAGCAGAGCCATAAGGCTTCCGGATCACAGCCAGTTATTATCCAGGCAGATTAAACTTGGGTCTGTCTGAGTACATCTATCAAGACAAATCCCTACACAGCCTTTATGTATGTACCTGACAACTGCAGGATATCTATTTTGCTAAATACTTAAAACCACATGAAATTCTGAAAAGTCCTACTAAATTACTCACTTTAAAATTTAAAGCAGCTTTTCTAATTACAAACAAAATTAATTAGAAACATTTCTTATGTAGCAAAATTGTGTTGAGTAAAGCTAGCGAGAAATATAGAGCCTAAAGAGACTACTATTATTGAAACGACTTATTTTTGTAATATTCACCATTAAAAAAACAGATTAACTTACCAAGCTGGTTATTTAACATCTCTGGAAATAAATGGTAATAAATGATTCAAATTGTTGCTCTACTACTGTGGGGGAATAGTTTTTATAACCAACAAGCAACTGATTATTCCATTTAACAGGTTCTACACAATTACATTCTGAGTTATACTTCCAAATGTGTGTAACATGATTTGCATACAGAATTATACATGTCCTCATCAAGAATGCAAAACAACTCTTGGTGAAAGCAAACAACTTCCAGATATTTATGTGAATGACATTTTACTTGAATACCTTGTTTTCAAAGATTATTCCCTGATACACAGTTTCCAGCTACGGAAAATTAACAGTAGTAGCTGGATTTCACTCTAAGCTTAAAAGCATGAAAAAACCCAGCATGAGAGATGCAAAACAAAGTAGCTGCAAATACGTGTTTGTTTGAAGCTAAAATGGTAATAAATTATAAGCAAATAATAATTTAAAATTATTTTCTTTTGAAGAAATTGTCTACTTCTGCCTACTCGCAAGCTTTCTTCAAAACAGGCAGAGGAGGGTACTTTTTGCTGAGTAGTTACTTCCCATGTTCTGATTCCTATTTTTGTATTTGAAAGGTTAACTGAATGCTCTAAGGTATCAGTGTGTTTACACACAGTTTAAAGATACAAATACCAATAATTTAATAAAAATGCAGGAAAACTTTTTCCATTCCTTCTAATAATGAAAGACAAACTATACCTGTGCTCGCTTCTCCATGTCCTGACAAGTACCTAGTTGTTCTTCCATTGCAGCTCTGATCTGCCTTGCCTCATACTCCAACTGCCTTCTGGTCATATCTGTTTGCAAGGAGAACTGAAATTGAAGTACAGAGAAGGCATTTTAGTAAATAACATTTATGTAAACTATGTGTTTCTCTGAACAATAGCAGAACAATTACTTTTCCATATCAAACTTCATAAGCAAACAAAACATAGTAATAGATCCTTAAAATATGACTGCATTATTAAAACCAAGAACACATAACATTGTTTAACCGACAGGTTACCTGCAAGTTTTGTGTGTGACTAAATATAACAGATAAACACTGATACAGTACCATTCACTAAAGCCAAGAACATCTGGCTACTAAAGTATGTAAGCATACCAACAAAATTGTTATGTGTGCCGTCTGAATCAGTATTTTCAAAAGTACACAGAGATATCAAACTACAGCACATAGCGATGATATTCCTATTACTGCTATCTAGCCTACTTTTAACTATCCTGTGAAAAAAGCACAAGTGTTTAATTCAGGAACAACACCATAGCTTAAGGGAAGACATTCCAACTGATACGTTTTTCAAGGCAGGAGTAAAGCACCTCACTGGTTTTGGACAACCACTCAGTTTGCCAACAAATGAGTGTCCAAGAGCAGTCCTCTCAGAAGACTTCACCAAGGTCAATTCAGAGAGTCAAAAAGAGACAATCATCTACAAATATGTAAAATGCTATTAAAAAGAATAGGATCTGTCATTCTGTTGTGGCTGGAGTTAAGTAGTAATGGATATAAATTGCCACAAAAGAGATTTAGTGTAGATGTTAAGTAAGACATTCTAACCATAAGAAGAGCTAAGTTAATTCATTACCTCTGAAAACGGGGAGACAACCTTAAAACCTATGACAGTGTGCCACAGATACAGCTGACAGTGCCTTTGGGAATGGGCTGCACTTCCTCAAGATCCTTTTCAGACCTTCCCCCCTTGCTTCTGGTGCTCTGGTAAGCTCAGCCATGACTCAGTGTTAGATTTGCTGAAGTCCAGTTGCTTCACCCCAGTCACAGAAGTGTTTCCACTGTTTCCATTTCCAGAAGGCTGACTGATTTCTAATCACGTATGATTCTGTAAAGATGGGCAACCAGGTCTTCCTAACACTGTGTGTGTGAAGGAATGGACTGCAAATATATCCAAGCTGCTGGGGTCTAACAGGAAAACCTGTATTATCTGCGCTATCAGATACCTCTATTACGCCAGATAATGGTGACTTGACTATAAATAGTTTGGAGATGCCAAGGTGAAAGCTTAGAGCAACAACACCTGCATAGACTATAGCACCACTTTGCTTGCTGTTATGAACTAAGAGCTCCTGTGTACATTGTCTCTTAAGCTAAAATTGCTCTCAAAACTAGAACCCACTGAATAACAGAACAGATACAGAAAAGACCTTTGGGGGACAGTTAAAGAACCAGCACACTGACATGTAATTCATTTGTCATAGCGACTTTTCAGTGCTTCTATCACTGACATTTATACTAACAGGCAGGAATTTTAATGTGTAAAATTATATATGAAAAAATGCATAATTTAAGTTAAGTTGGCTTTACATAGTGAATAAAATATGTTTTTAATTGATAGTAGAGAATGTCACCAAATTCATAAAATATACACAGCATCTAAACAGAGATCATAGCACCAGATACACGATCAAGCATACTGAAGGTACTTACATTTTCAGTAAGGGGGAGACTATCAATCCTTTTAGTCAGGTTCTGAAGCTGGGCGTAATACCAGTCCTTTTCTTTCTCTTCCTTCTCAAGCTCCGCAAGCAAAAGAGATCTATTAAAAATAAAAGTGGGAAATGTCTCACTATTAAGACCTCATTACCATATGTAGGTACAGAAATAGGCACTGATGCTCATAAAAAAGGTTAAATGAGAAACAAGGGTTGAAGAGGGCACTAAGATGATATTGGAGAAGGTGGGTGCAGTTCCCTGGCCCTGGTTAAGCAAGTCACTAGCTTCTTGTATATGGAGTCCACATCTATAAAAGAGGAAAATACCTACATTTCTCTACAAAATCACTCTGAAATCTAAAGCTAAGAGGCATTTTGTGAAAACACAAAACAGTTACTAGTCATGTGTTAACATGTATCCTGCTTCTTTTAGACAATATGCTTTGTAAAATGCATCAAACTACATTTAAGAAAAGGCCTGGATTTTACAGGAGCATATACATCCCTGAATCACACTATTGAATTAAATTATCTGATCTGCCTTTGCAGTGTCTCCTGACTAACTTTGTCACCCATAACAAAACTATGGCAAAGCACACAAAATCAAGTTATTTCTATGAGTATTAAAATACTTCAAAAGAGTATTTTCCATCAAATATTATAAACAGGATACACTTGCAGCTGTTTAAAACATTTTAAATGGGTATCATAAGCATACTGCATACATGAGCAGTATGAGAAAGGTAAGATTATTAATATAGACAGACTACCAAGAAAAAAATCATTAGAAATTTAGTATACTATTTTATTAGTCCTTCACGAACTGCACTTATACAGTTGTAAATCTTATCAACATAGTTACACAGCATTCATTGTCACAACTCTTTTCAAAATGTGTATTAAAATTGTCAGGCAAAATTTGGCTAGTAGGAGTATACAGAAAAGCCATTCTTGTTTTTTTGTGGGTGGTTTTTTGGCGTTTTGGTTTTTTTTAAACAACTTTATTGGTTTCTTATAAATGCTTCTGTAAGCACTCTTCTTCTAACATTTTAACATTGCTCATTAACATTAACAGAAATGCTAGAATCAACACTTAGCCGGAAGACAGAAAGTTGCATACAAGTTTGCCCAGTACTATTTCCCATCCCTTAACTTCTGCATCTCTCTCTCTAAACTCAGTTTGCGGTCTTCCTGAGCAAGAGCCATGTGAACCTTTATAAACCACACAAACACATTATGGATAATTACTGTAAGTCATTAAGGACAAAAACATAGAATACAACAAAAAAAACAAATTCCCTTTTTACCGTCTTGGGTGCCCATGCACCGGTTGTGTCCAGTTTGTAAAATCAAATTTGCAAAAGCATAATTAATGCATCCTTATAAAAAGTATTTTTACCATATGCAAATGTGAAAGATCTGACTAATTCTGCCTCTGGATGTCAAAGAACTGGTAGTAGAAACCAGAGGGATTACTTTCAGCTAAGTGAACATGTGATTAAGTTCCTACATTGTAAAATGTAGGGTATTCAGTTTGTGAGACACTGTGTCATTCAATCTGTTTTGACACGCACAACGGATGCTAGAAGCAAGAAAAGAACTTAGGAACCATCAGTGCTCCATAAACAACATAATGCATGACCTGAGGGTGACTCCTTTAATTTAATAGTATCATTTTTGCTTCTGAGTAATGCTTTATTTGGGATTACTAGTTTGGTATTACTGCTCCATGAGAATTCAGGTTTTAACGATGTCTTTAAGGGCTCTCAGCACAAAGCCTGAAGGGCTGGTACAACTACAGCAGGTTGCATTTCAATTTCCTTGAAAATAAGCAGCAAGTCTCTGTAGATGTGTCTGATAAACTGCTCCTGCACTTAGCACTCCTATCAGATACTACACCAACCAGAAGTATAGCTTCTTCTCAGCCTTCTGGAACTTCTTGAGGTTAGGAGAGCCTTTATGGTGGAAGAGCTGTTACTGATCATGGAAAAAAAAATTGATGGAAAAACCTAGCACAGCTATTCCATCTTTTTATACCTCAAAATTGTTTACATCAGGTTTTCCACAGATTCAGAGAAAACTGTTCTCCGTCATACACTGTCAAGTTCAGTGAGAATGGAGCAAGGGAAATGAAGTAAGCTTTTGGAACTTTACACTATTTTTATGAGTTAACAAAAAATTTCCAATTTGAACTGCTTTTCTGAAGGGTGAGTGTTTCAAAAGACTTCTCTCTACTGTGGTATTTGTGAAGCTCCCAACAAAATATACAGCTTAATGAATGCAGAAAATTGGTTTCTTCTTTTGGAAGTTTTTTCTGCATAATTACATCGATGTTATTCCCAGCTAAAAGGGAGAAAGGAAACAAACTACATGCTACTTTACATGCATTATGTAAATTACAATTATAATGAATACTTTCATTTCAATTAGTAGGTGATAAAATAAAACCTTGAAAATGAAACACTGCTGATAGATGCTGTGTAGACTTATAAATAAGTCGTACAGTCAGCAAAGGGGAGGTAAGAATAGGAGGAGAAAGAAGTTATGAGACAGAAAATGCTCAAAATCAACATTAAGAAAATAAAAAAGTAGTCTCATAAACCAGAAGGAATAAACAAGGCATAGAAACATTTTCATAAAAAATTCATCGTAAGATTGTCATCTCTAGTGGTAAATTACAGAATTTGCAAAGGTGAGCTTATTAAATTTACTAAATTGCAAAGGGAAAACCAACACAAAAAGTAACCTCCAGTGTACTCTGAAAAGTTTTGTTGTTGATACAGTGTCTTACCAAATAAACCTGGAAATAGCCAGGGAAAAATGGGGAGATACTTAATGAAAAGTGTATTCTAAATTGGCAAGTAAAAGCATACACCCCCCCCTTTTTTCAATTTTGAAATTAGAGAAGAGCTAAGCAAATGAGAAAGAGGCAATTTCATCTTCATTCTGGTAAGTGAATCAATTGATTAATTTTATTCCCCTCAGAAGACCACTGTTACCCAAGCTAAATAATTTTTTCAATACAAAACAAATGTTAGCAATTTTTTTCTTGTTTCTTACTTGTTTACATTAATAAACATCTAGTGAATTAGTTTATTAATAAACATCTTGTGAATTTGCCAAGTTCACACATAGTTAATACACGATTTGGTCCTCGCCTAAACACCGTTGCCCATGAGCAGCATATATTGTGCCAGTGTGTTAACATACTGAGTGGAAATGTTCCCCTGCTGCAGGTTTCCAAAAACCACTCTTTTCTTCTAAATCATTTTAATATTTTGAGGCTTGTCAAGTTCCATGAGTTCTTTGAAAATCTGTTTAAGTGCCAAAAAAAATAATCTAGTAGCAAATAACACATGTTTATACATATGTTTAGAAACACAGAAACTTAGTAAGTATGCCAAACAAGTTCAGACACAAAGCATAGGAAAATAAGTGGTTAATTTTCTTTCAGAAATTGTAGCAATTTCAGATGCATGGTCCTACACCCAGATTCATTTGGCTACCCAGGGTCCACACCAATGCCCTACGTGTTCTTACAGGTCCCCTGAAATAGCATAAAGAATAGAGCAGTTTGGATCACCCATCATTTCACTAATAATGAATCCCGATGTGATCTGGCCACGCCTCTACAGATCATCTTCTCCACAGCACAAACCTTTACTCCATCAGCTCTGACAATAACACTGCCCAAGCTCATCTGAAATTAAAATATCCTTATCCCTTTCTTTTTTTCATCGTTATTCGGAACAAAGACCAGTTCACCTCCTAAGCTGTCTTTATTGCTGAGAAAAATGTCCAAAAAACTATCACCTTAGAATCCAAGAGAGGAGGAAAGGATCACAGATCATAAATCAGATGTGCTGACCACCTTGAAGAACTCCAGCTGCTATAAATTAATACTCTCTGTTCCAAGTGACCTGGAGTTCACTTGAACCATAACTGAAAGTGCTAACTACACTTCAAGATTTTAGTATCACATGTGGTAAGAAACAGCACTGGAAGAATACAAACAAGTACTTCTGTTAAGATGAAACGTGACAGACACATTCGATTCTTGATAACTGAGACGAGCAAGTGGGAAGAGATTCCCAAATTCCTAAATATTCTTATACAGCTCCTCAGGAATCCAGATTTTATGCAATGGAACAAATATGACTAGTGATCCTGACAACGAAAAAATGAAAAAATAGTGTGGCTGCTAGAAGAGGCTCAGTACAGACCCATGGGAAGTTACTTTCATTCTACTGATAGGACCAAAAGAAAGGGACCTAGACATGGTATCTTGGATGAAAAGTGTACTCCTTTCAGCTCTTGACTGCAAACATTTTACTGAACATCCCAGGAAAGGCCCTTTAGAGGAGAGGTTTCTGAAGGGTTGGCCACAAATCACTTATTACCCACTTTACTTTTGTATTACAACTCCAAAGTGGATTTTTTTTGCTTGCTAACAACTACTAAGCATAAAAATACTGTGTTGCTGTTTATTTGACTTTGCAGCCCTCAGCTTGACATCCCATCCATTAAGTAACTGTCAATGACCAAATCTTTAGGAAACCTTGTCTTACAGACAGGCTTCTGAAAACATCTGGGATTTCAGTCAGGTTGATTTTAAGATATAAAGATGTCTTCAGTGGAAACAGCTGCATCTCTCTTACACTGCATCTCCTTTGTAAGTGATTGATAAAGTGCTACAAATCTGCATTATGGCCTGAAAGTATGTTCTTCCTATTAAATGGATACCACTACCTTCCAAGAAAAGATATTCCATGATGTGAGCACAGAATCACTAGGTAAATGTCTGCTAATATTAAATAACTGATCAACTAGCTATGGTAGTTATAACCATTTGCAAAAAAGAGAAAGAGATCGCACCATCACATTGTTACAGTTTCAGCACTTACTAACAGTGGTGAGGAGATATGGAGGATGCTCTACCCCTTCTCTCTAAACATATTTCAGATGCTGACAATCTGCTGATCAAAATAAAAAAATCTTCAGCCAACAAAGAATAACAATGAACTGCATATATGAAGAAGCATTAGAAATCGTATGATGTGGTTTAAGATTTTTTTAATATTTTTTTGTGTGCATCTAAGTATAGTTTAGATTCCTGATTTCCTTACCTGTCAAGATAAATATACCAGTGATCAAAACTACATGCATGATAGCTGAATACTAAGTGTGTCAGTAAACTTTCAACTTACTATTAGAAGTCAATCCATACTGGACGAATAAACAAAGAAATTTACCTCTCTTTTTCTAGCTCTTCTAAATAACCAGTGCTTTCTCTGCTTCCATTCACAAATCCTCTTCTTGGAAATGACCCCATGGGAACAGGACTGCACTCTCCTGAACGGCTTGACACAGACCCTTCCCGGCTCCCATATGAACGCACTGACACCTTTGGCCTTAACTTCACTCCAGGGAAGTTGGTACTTTCCAAGTTCAGTTCTGGATAACAAAGAGCAAACATTTTCAGAGTTAAAGTTCAGCAGCAGAAATTTAAAAGATAATTTCTCTCTTAATTTCTTATTTCCTGAACAAATCCATGACATTTTGATGGAAACATTTTGCATGGAAATCCACAGAACATAATATGAACAAAAACAATCTTAATGGTACACTTGGAGAATACTAGTCATCTGAACAGATGGCCAAACTGCAATCCTGACAGTTAGAACAGTATCCCCACATGCACCTGCCTCTTTCCAGAGGACTTAAGAAATGGGCAGAGTTTTGCATAAATGTCATATGATTTGTTCTTGTGGCCCACTTCCTAATAGCATCTTTCTTAGAGATCCTGCAGAGGATTCACTGTCATGTAAATGACAACAACTCTGTTCACCACTGGGCCCTTAAATGTAGACATCCCCTATGGTATTTCTGGCTCAGTGGTAGGGATAATGGATGTATACAGGGAGTCAGTGGTCTGGGTTTGCTTTGCACATCCCACATAATGGGATGATGTGCATTCCAGCACATACTCTAGGGAAGGGAGCACCAGTTTGCAGCACAGCAGATACAATTCCAGCAATACGACATGGAGAGGGCAGGGCATGTAAACAGGTTTAGAAAATTTGTGGAACTAATCCATCATTAAGTTAAACAAATGTATTTTTTTCTGAAGAACTGAATGAATGCAAGTTTTATCAAAAGTAATTCATATGAAGTCCTAGAGAAACAGTAGCAGAAGCATAAAAGCAGCATAGGAACGTATTTTCTTTGAGAATGTGTCTTAAAATGCTTAGTAAAAATAACAGGCACTGAGACTATGCCTAACCATCAAAGTCAGCCCTGGAAAGAATATGCAGCTGAGTTAGAAAATTTTATCCCAAAGAAAAAACAACTGAGAAACAAATGAACCTACTTAAAACATAATTGTAGATCTACCTTTAAGTCGTTCCAGTAAGTCAATTTGTCCAGAAGACGCCATTGCCTCATCTTCAATACTTCCTTGTAGCTGTTTCAGCACCTCCTGTAAGAAATTAAGCTTAATTAAGAAATCCTTACAATAATAAACCACAAGGTAAATACATCTTATCCTGCCCTCTAGCACACATTTATATAACGGCTACTGAAACACCAATATAAACTGTATTTCATGTGAGCAGTGATCAAGCATCATAACTTTAACTGCCATCAAATATATTCTATAGTATTTCCCCAAGTACTGTCACAATGTAAATTATATCCTGAATAACTCATGCTCTCTGGTAGTCCAATCTACCAGCTTATTTAAAAGTTCTTCTCAAAGTGAATAGCAGTTATCTTGAATTTACAGATGGAGAAATGGAAGCACAGAGAAATTAGTTAAATTTTTCCATCTGTGCACCTGAAGTTAGTCTTGTAAAGATAAAATCTGGATACATAACTATCACACTTTTTAAACGTCAAAGATATCAGAGCAGAAGTAATCCCTAGGACATATTTTCTGCGAGGCCTTAGTACCACTGTAAATCAGCAAGAAAAGTCACATTATTCTTACTACCACTACTGCTGCCACCACCAGACCTATGAGGAAAAGACTTAGGATTCCTTCATGGTGTCATATTATTTGGCTTATTACTACTACCACCACCACCATGCCTACAAGAAAGACATTTATGACTTTTTTATGCAGCTGAAGCTTCAAAGCCAAGAATTGCTGTGTGCTATTCAAACTATGTATGATAAAATTATACAGCTGAAGGAACGTAGTTCTAATGCACAGAAAGATTCATAGTAAACAATGACTACTACACTAAAAGGGGCCTGTAAGCCCCCAGGTCCCTAATGCTTAGTGGCCTAAATTCACGTAGAAAACTAAATGCAAGGTAGAGAATGCCTTTTCTATATCATAATGGTGGATACATCAATAGCAAAAATAAACTGAAAAGACTGGCCACAAGGCAAAAGCCCTTACTGGAATTTAAAATACCATTTTTCATACTGTGGCATAGAAAATATTTTTAGAAGCAGCAATAGTCAGGAAATTAAAACAATTCTAAATAATGAAAGGTATTCCATACTTTTCACACATAGACTCTACACTCAGAATTGTACTTTTGTTCAGACCTGAAAACAAATTAATTTTGGACAATTTAAAAGATCTCCACATCACTTTTTGCTCTTTTAAGAGGTTAGCATACCTTACTGTCAACATTAATGGTTCTTGCAACTTGTACAAAAGGTACCTTTGAAAAGAGCAAAATGCATTTAAAAGGACACAAAATGGCATCTACAAGAAGTCAAGATGTTCTTTAAACAGACACACTACCGAGCTTTTCTATATTCAAAGTGTTGTACCAAAAAAAAAAAAAAAAAAGAAAGAAAGAGCATTTTGAGTAAAGAACTGCACAAGGTTCTGGGAAAATAACCTCCAAGCACCAGACTCAGAGCAAATGGTAGCAGCACAATCACTGCAGCCACCCACTGTGTAATTAGAAGCTGGTACTCCAGAAAGAAGAATTCTGGAGTACAGACACACTAATTACATTGACACTGTTTTGTGGAAATAATTCTGCAGGTGGAGTTGAGGTCAGATTTCCTAATTTACATGTTGCCTGCCTGATGGAGTCAAGGTGTGTCCCCGCATTCGCATTTTAGTTTGGATCAGTCTGACATCAGACTTTCATCTGCTCCAACGCCTGTACTTCAGTTCACATTGCAGGGTGATCTCAGAGCATGAACCGAATTCCTTTCCAATCCAACCAAGCCAGCAGTTATACTCAAGACTACTAATGTGCATTCACTCCATGGGACCAGGCTGGAACTAGTCCAAAACCAAAATCCCCTGAAACATATATAGTATGCACACTGGGTCCTCAACATAATTAATCTACAGATCTGCTCTTACTGCACTACCTGTTCATGCTGGCATAGCCTTTAGCATCAAGTCTGGTGTGATAAAATCACTACCCTTGTAAAGACATCTCCACTGTGCTTGTGCTTTTAAGTACATTCAAGGGCATCTGATTAGCCATATGGCCCAGTCATCTCTATACATAACATCTGCCTTGGCAGCAAAGTCAGACAAACAAGTAATCTGGTATTTTTCAAAGAAGAGCTCCTACATTATCTGACACAAGGGCAGATAACATTTGCAGACAGCAGTCTTAGCTTAAAAGTCTAAAAAGGCAATGAGGATATGTGGTCTTAGGAGTTCTACACGCTTCTGGAAGACCTGTCAGCTCAAATAAATTCAGAACTAACTAATGAATCTCTTTCCTCTGAAAGCATCACCTTGGTGCAGGGAAAAAACCCAACCCAAACATCCAACTTCTCCTCCCATTCCCTTCTTAGAAGCATCTTTCTCACCTCTCCGTGTGGCAGTTCCACTATTTCAGAAATTGTACATTCAGGATACTTTCCTACATAACGAGTCTTCCTGCTTCAAGAGCCAGTATGAACAGCTAACTGGAAATACTATCACCTTGTCCTGTGCTACCAAATTACCTGACTGAGGTGTCCAGGCAGCTAGGGACTGCTCTTTCTGAATATTGGTAACAATTAAACATTAGCATACTGGGTCATCTTTCTCAATTTTCTCTGCTACAATTAATTAATTTAGGTTGTGACTTTTAGTTTTTAAATTCTCCCCTTTTGTTCAACAGCACATGTATTTTTTTCAAGTTAGGTAAACTATTCTTTTCTGTATTTTTCTACATTTCTTTTCTATAGTACCATTGCTAAGGTAACAATGCCATTATGAGGCTATGACATCAATTTCAAACTCAATCATGGCACACTTTGAAATCTAGGCTGACAAAGCAGACAAAGGTTAGAAAGGGATATGCAGACCCTGGGCCAGCTACTGGTGGAAAAATGAGGCAGTGTGCTGAAATCACAAACTGGGGAATTTACAATTTTACTTGAATATTCTGCAATAACCTATTTGGAGGAAACACGGCAAGTTACCTGTTACTGTGAAAATGCAATTTTTTATTTATTCACTTATTGTAACTGCAGGACTCAAAACTAACGCTGTTTATGTGCAGTGCTCCCATTTCCCCCCAAGATTAAAACACTGCTTTGAAATACTGTTTTTCACAATAATTTTGTATTACATTTGATATCATGTCTGCTAAATATTGTAAATATATCTGTAAATATACAAATAAACCTAAATCAATTTCACTGAAGTTAAATTCTGTTTAGTTATGAAAGTCTGAACAAATATATTCGTAGTGATTTATAGCACTGTTCTAATCAAATTCTTTACTGACTTAGTAGTGACTTACCAAAAAAATACACAAATGTAAGTGTCCATAAGGAAGGCTGCAGAAATTTTTTTCTGTTCTTTTAAAGAATGTAAGTCAAATTATTTTAATGGTTACTTAAGTATAACCTAGTTTATATTGTCCTACTGCAGAAGTACAAAAGAATGCTTTTGGAAATGGAGCTGGCCCTCTGACTCATCATCATTTAAAAAGCTTTCTGTCTTCACAGTCTCTGGACTGTGAAGTACAGAAACAATGTCATTTGTTTTGTTTTGTTTGGACTCTATGAATACAGTCCTGACCTTATAACTATTTTATTGATAATTAAATAAAAAAGATCAGACCTGTCAGCAAGTAACTGGAAAACTACTGAGAAGAAAAGCACCTTAACTAACAGTAGATGCACCCAGCTAAGTGGTAAGGGTTTTAAATAAAATTGCTTAAGGGCTTTGAATTTACCCAGGCTGCTAATAAAGAAAGGAACCACAGAGGAATAATGCTAACAATGCCAGATTTCAAATCCCGTTGAGTTAAGATTGAAAAGTATGCTTACATTTTTGAGAACTGTAAGTATAAATATTAATATTTAGAAATATTTCAAAATATGCTTATCTGTAAAAAGACATTCTGATTTAGACATACACCTCTCCTTTGGTGGGAAAAGGAGCGCTGATGACAATTCACACAAATTAGATACATTTGGTCTTCTGTAAACACTACTTGCTTTTCCTCCCACCTTTTAAATAGAGTAAGTTTTATTACTTCTATTCACTGTTCTAAAAGTTTTGGGTATTCAGTGAATGCAAAAATGTACGAAAACCATAACGAAAATTAAATACATCAAATTGCTGGCAGTAGTACGCCAGATATACTCACAGGCATACACTGGTACTCCAGTATCAGCTGGAATAGTAAGCCAACAAGATGTTTTGAAACTTACTGGATCTTTTAAAGGTAAGCACAAGCCTACATTTAAAGACTTCCAACAGAAGCTATTCTATCAATCAATTTTTGGTAAGACATTCTTCATACCTGTTCCTCCTTTTTAGCTAATAATGACACTTGGGCCTGTGTGAAGAGACATTCCTGTCATCTACACACGTGTATGTACACACTGTTTCTTTCAATGTTTGTAAACAAAATGCAAACTGAGTTATCCTTCAGTTTAGATTTTTCAGGTTATGCTTACCTTAGCACTGTATTTACAACATTTGAGTATAAAAAACAGGCTTAACTGCACCTATATGGAAAGTGTTTACAATTTCAGACAGTAATTGAACATCTATCTTAGCACCATATACGATAGGAATATACATACCGAATGACTAAGAACTACTTATTTTTAACCAAATCAGCAGTATTTTTAAATGAGAACGTTTCTGACAGCATTTGTACTCATGTTTTTAATCCAATATGCTGAAAACTTAACATACAGTTGCACTCTAAACTGAAAGTGATTTTTGAAGTTCAACCCAATGTTCCACATTGTTTCAATTATTATTTGTTTAAAAGCACAGGAAAAAGGTAACATATACTAAAAGCACATCCATGACTCAAATTCAACAAAAACATTAGATGTCAAAAAGCAGAAGGGGATGGACACCAGAATACTATTTTCTATGCATTTTTAGACAGCATAAACTTAATTTCAAGGTCTCACATGACCCTTCATAACTACATGAACTTGACAGTGCCTTAATATTATCACACATGGTACAACACTCACAGGGCCAAGTGAAAGCTATGGAAGAGGCCTTTTGCTCCTATACATTTTGGC